TAGGATGTTAATTGTTAAATTCGTTAAGGGGCCTCGCTACTGCTATTATTTAAGGGGCAACATATAGGCAATTTCTAATCTCGTCGTAGCCATCCGGTATATTTGTGTTAGTTGTAAATGATTGTTAGTGTGAGTACAATTCAATGTGGGTACCACTCTCCCTTCCATACCATCAGGTAGTCACTAGTTGTAATCATATTATTATAATCGGTGTCCCGTACTCGTGTGTTGAATGGCTTCGGAGAATTCGGTTCATTAGTTTTAACTTATTATGCTATGAATTGAGAAAAATAATAATATAGTCCGCAGTGTAAAATAATTTGTATAGTTATTATTGGTATAGGTTATCTGAAAATATAAGTAATTGCTAACATTATTATAGGATACCACGAAATAACGTATCCAATTATATTACACTGTTTAGGTTTATTTAGCTAGACGCGGTGCGATAGCGGTACAGGGGGCTCTCGCACGCACTCGCACGCACATGTCATCAGTAATATCGTGATCGCAAAAAAATGTTTATTTTTCATTCCAACATACGTTTCTAATTCCAACGCTATGTGTCGACAATTATCACGAATTTCATTCTGAAAAAATATTTGGATGCTCCGTAATATGTACGAGGGATCGATCGAGGCACATTTTAAAAATTGTATTTAGTTAATTAAATATTTAAGTTTGAAATTTTGCATTTTTTTGTATTTACAATAATATTTATTACAATTCAAACTACAAAAATTAAGAATGTGGCTCGATCGTTCCCTTGTACATATTACGGAGCATCCGAATATTTTTTCAGAATAAAAATCGTGATAATTTTCGACACGTAGCGTTGGAATTAGAAACATTAGTTTTTGTTAAAAAAAGACGTGGTGGTGAGGCCCCTTAAGGTTTTCGCCGAAAGACATTATCTACAATCTATAGCCGAAATTACATAAAATAAATATATTTAGATATTATGGATCAAATATTTTCTAATTTATTTATGTACACAGTGGACTGCTACGAGTATAATATATATATATGTATAAACACAAAATCGATAGTCTCAGGAAATGTTTGAAAATCAAATAGTCGTTTAACACATTTATGGAAAACCATAAAAAATGACGTCATAGAAAATATGTGCAAAATATTCAGTGCTCCACGAATCCTCGGGGCTCGGTAAGAATATATTCCGCAAGTTGTTCTACGTCGTATTTCAAAAACAGTGCCGTACACGTTGATTACTTGGCAAGACATAACTAAAACACAAAATTGATGAACAAAGTAAAACTTGACTTAAGCAATTATTGTTCTGTAATGACCGTCTCGGTTCACGTTCAACGAAGAATCCTATTTTACTATTTCTTCTTCTCTCTTTTATTATACAGCTTCACTAAAAATATACCGAGTTAAAGTTTTTATTGCTTATAATTACTTATTTCATTGACTAAATGCTATCCAATATGAAGTTTAGTACAATATAGGAGTATTGCTGTACGAATATAATTTCAATTCTTTTAATAATCTCTCTAGAGACACGATATTTATTTAAAAAGACCGATGCGACTAACAGTAGGTCGACACCTCTGCGAAAGCTGCTCTAAACTGTTTCGAGGCTCAGTAACTAAGAAAATGTTAAAATCTAATCACGTAACATAAGGTTTTATTACAATTCTAAGTTATAATGTTCATCGCGCTGGTTGACTAACTACAACAGCAACTACTGCACCATTCTACTTCGCTAGTAAAGCAAATAATTTGTCTTTTCGAAAATTTATTATAAAACTGATAACATAATAATTTATAGTATATATTTCATAAATAATATAGAGAAATTAGTATCTAGGGTTTGCAGTTATTTGTCAAAGTGCTATTTTAAAACATTATTCTAAATGACATGTTATTTATTACAGTGGCATTTTATTTTATTTTTTTCATTCTTTTGGGTGATTAGGATATCTTTCCCTACGTCTGGTACCAACTGCAATCAGACCGGAAACCACCATTACCGTGCTGTGTGTGTATGTGTTTTTTTGTTGGTCCTACGTACGCATAATAACAGTGCGTTGTGCGTCGTCTGAAAACGACAACCGTGTTTTAATGTACACATGAAAACTACGCACAACGAAACGGCATCGCTGCATTGTTCCTACGACGTAAAGTTACTAACGATAGTACCACACATGCGAGTCGGGCCCACTAAACATAGCGCGTTCTTTTCACACGGATTTGTTATCGTAATATTTATCGTAAGCCAGCTGCTTTTAAATGGCATACAATTTAAAAAAAATGTAAATGGTAAAATTGTATAAATATCGACATCGGATGATAATAATTACTGTTACGCATATTTACTATTAACTGTATTAGCTCCACTAGATTGCTGTGACTGCGTATGATTACAGAATATTATAATTCCGATTAGTAATATCTCTAATTAAGAGCGGGAATATAATTTTCGCTTTATGGTGGAAAATATCTAACGACGGGCCTTGCCCCCGTCACAGAGTTTCACGTTCGTGTCGGTTTCTCGCAGTCGGTTTTCCATTAGTCGCAGTCATTCGGTGTCACAGATCTCAGACACAGCGGATGCGGTTTCGCGGGTTTATTTCTACAGTGCATGGTCACTAACGTGTAATTCTTCTCGTTTGACCTCGATTCTGGAAACACAACAAATATCTATGGCTCATCACGGCGTAGTTGCATTTGTTCTTACGGAGGTTAGGTTAGGTTAGGTAAAATTAGCTTTATAAAATATTCTATATGTTACCTGGGTACACAGTATAGAAATCACGAAAGACTAAGCCATATTTGTAACGATTATTTACACTTCATAGATTATGTCAAAAAAAGATTTAGAATTCGTCTTTTCTCCCTCTCCCCTACTCTTGAATTCAACCACCGTTTAGTAGATACATCTAGGTCAAATCACTTCGGAATACGTTAATAATCAAAATCAATCGAAAACATTCAACACGTTTATACATACATATAACCTAATTATAAAAGCATATTTTTAGAGGAAAAAAATTTTTTTTTATGTAATAAAAAAGTTACTATAATTAATTTACTAAACTTTAGAATCTTAGCATTGTCCATAAAATAGAAATAAAGGCTTTTTTATGGAACCCTTTTTTTTAGTACCTATTACATCCCAGTTGTCTTGTGGACGACCTCGTTTGAGACGACAAGTACATGGAGGAACAAATAAATCATTAACTGAGGTGCCCTTTTGGTTTTTAATTTTTCCCCGGCATATCATTATTAACGTCTAAGACAAAAACCAAAAGTATAACAACATCGAAATGTTTTGATGATGTATTTGAGTTCATTTTTCTTTTTCATTACAAATCAAATTGGTCCCAAAATGAATTTATCACTCAATGATACATTAAATTCTTGTTTGTAAATAAAGGTTTCACAACAATTTGTTTCATTTTTTGGCGTACTTTTATACAAATTTATATTATGCTATTGTTTTTATTATAGAATGCATTCCACTCATTATTCAAAATCCTCATCGCGAAAAATAATATATTCTCAAAGCCTTTAGGGATCATCAGCTTTTTTAACCAGCACATTCTGTGCTATTATGCTTTAATATTTTTTAATTACTACTAATAGTTAAAATTATTAAAATTAATCACTATAAAATGTAATGGGCTCATAAAAATATATTTACATAACGTTTAATTTCAATAATGTACTGGTAAAATGTTGAAATTCTGATTAGATTTTATGAATAAATTACACCACAATACATGTTAACATCGAATTCGAACTTTAATAAACATAAGTAGAAACAAATTATTCAAAAAAAAAAAAAAAAAAATGACTTGTACAAAATTGTTATTTACAACTATCACTGATATTAATTATATCAATACATTTTTAAAACAATAATAATAATTTCATAAACAAGTCATCGTACGTTTTTTTATTGTTTTATAAATATTTTTTAATTATACTTATATATGAACTTAACAATAACTTGTGGGGTTATAGAAATAAAATCATAAATTAAAACAAAATAGTTCATGAAAACTATTAAAACTAGTTTCATTATTGAATTTCAAAAATCAATGAAGGGCATATTTGTGTTGAGGCCATGGAGGGAGGGGTGAAACTAATTTTTCTTCGATACAAACTTAAAATAATTTACAGTTCATAACCTACAGCTCATGATCTTGTTATAATGATGATAAATTATAATAATAGACTAGTAATTTATACTCTTAATTATTTATACATTACATTTAGGGGTTAGTCAATTAGTTAATGTATTATATTCAAAAAAAATACGAGCCATGAGGTGGGAGGGGGCGAATGCCCCCTTCCCCCCTCAATTACGCCCTTGAGTTTCGGCTGTGATTCGGTATCTTTGCGAATCTGCACACGATGGTAAACGTGCGTATTTCGATTACAACGTTACCCGTACGACCCAAGCAGTCGGTTACACGGTTATCGTTACACATTATACTTTGTGTTATCAACGATTTCGCTTGCACTTGCAGCGTTTCGAGACGACGAGCCAGCCGGCATTCGTAAGCAATCGGCTAAATATATCACGTCCGGTTGACAGTCTATAAACATTATTAATGCGTAACGTCAGCGGTGATCACATCATCAGCTTTTCGAACTCGATCACGGCACTCCTTGTGCATCGGTTTCACGTTATATTTTTTACGTACGATGGATATATACATATATATATATATTTATAAAAAAGGCACTAAATCACCCGATTACAAATAGTATTATGTAATGGCCAGCTGGCTATGTATACAAAATCAATATCATATTACCCATATCGAATGTTTTCAACGAGTGTAAAACAATTACGAAATATTAATCGAACGTTAACAAGACAACATAACGCAAACACTGTTGACAAGAAAAAAATAAAAAAAATAAGATCAAGAAACGAGGAATTCGCGACACCATCAAGCACGCATAGTATCGTTGACCACGCTTAAGACCTACAGTTAATAATACCACGTGATAGAATCACGATGACGAACCGTTCGGAGAGCTTTTCGACCATTAAGGACGACGACCAAAAGTGCAGGCTGTACATGGGCAACCTGCCGAAGGTGAAGACGGTAAAAGAGATATTTGATGAAATAAGCCGCATAACGCGTGGTCATCTGGTGCGTGTAATCACGTACAAGAACTTCGACGACCCGTCAATGCACCGGGGCTTCTGCTTCCTGGACTACGGGTCGGTGGCCGCGGCTACGAATGCCAAGCAGGCACTGTCAAAACAAAAGGTCTTCGGGTGCAAGACTAAGGTGGACTGGGCGGACCCGGAACCGCAGATTGATGCAGACACGATGGCTAAGGTGCGCATACTGTTCGTCAAGCAGTACGGCGGCGTGCTGGACGAACGCGTGCTGGCCAAAATGTTTGGCCAGTATGGGGTCGTGGAGCGCGTAAAGAACTTAAAGAACTACGCGTTCGTGCACTTTGAGCGGCGTGAGGATGCACAGTCAGCCATGGACGCGCTGAACTGTTACAGGGACGTGGCTTCGGGCGTGTGCCTCGACGTCGCGTGGGCCAAGCCGCCGGCGGACAAGAAAACGCGGCAACGGATGTTGCGTAACCGGGAACGTCGGGTACGAAAATCTGCGGTCACGGCTATGAGTCAACCGGTTCGCTACGCCCCGCGGCCACCGGGATGCGTTCCCGGAGCCAAAAGACGCGTCGGCCCCATCCCCGCCACCACAACCTACACCAAGTACGACCATCTTAATTACGACTTCGGACTGCGGCAACTGTGGCAACCGTGCAACCCGTGCAACCCCATTTCCACGTTGAGCATTCCAGTGGCCGAGGCTACGTCTGACAAGCGCGACAGCGACAGTGCACGCCGGAGCGGCACGAACGAGTGCAAAGTGGTCCGTCACGACGACGGAAGAAGGATTGCACGAAAACGTCGAACAAGAAACTGTTGAACTTTTTCGACTGAGTTTCCACGAGCAGTGCCAAAAACGGTTGACGTCACCGTATTTTTGTCTAGCCGTTTACGATATTTATACAAGTCAACTTTTCTTTAATGTTAAAAAACCCGCATTTTACGGAAAATAAAAAAAAATATATAAATGAAAAAAAAATTGTTTCAAATAATTTAATTAACATGACGTGAGTGTTGAAACAATTTAGACATGAATTATTGCGTTTTCAAACGTATTTTGAAGTGGCCACTGATCGATATCATGGCACCCGGATACGGAAAGCGCAACGGATCACAACGTGCGTAAACGATATTTACGTGAAATCCGATTAGACACAATATTTCACTATAGCGATAAAGCCGAGTTAAAACTAGGATTACAATTCTAAGAGAAATTACGATCCTCCTAACCGAAACAGTTAACTTAAAACAACCAATGTAGAGCTCCACACTTACATACTATCAAAACACATTTTAAGTTCTGGGTGAAACGAAAAACATATTGGCTTTACAACAATGTATTATATTTTGCGGATGTTATACTATTATGAGCTAAGTGCGTCACATATAAAAATAATTCAATTTAATCAAAATGATAAAATGTTTTCCAGTTATTTTAGTAACAAAAAAATAAAAATAATGATAAAAATGAAACATTTTTATAGATTATTCATTAGCACTTACAGCAAGGGCGTATTTGTGTTGCGGCCATGGGGGGGGGAATATAATTTTTCTTCAATACAAACTTAAAAATAATTTACAGTTCATTACCTACAGCTCATGTTTCTGTTATAATGATAACATATTTTAATGATATACTAGTAATTTATATTCTTAATTATTTATACATTACATTTTTCAAATAAATCAATGTATTATATTTAAAAAAAATACGAGCCATAGGAGGGTGAATGCCTCTTTCCTCCCTCAAGTACGCCCTTAAAATTAATCAAACAACCAACAAATTAATGATCATTCTTTTTTATCAACTATCACTTGAATCTTTATTAAACTAATAATACAATGTTTGTTTTGCCAATCAAATCCAAAATGTATAAAGAAATGAGCTATAGATATTTATTTGTATTTGCTAAACATAAAAGCCGACTAAAAATATGGTCTTGTTTTTCATTAAGTTCATAAATACCTGAAGAAAAGTAAAATTACAGAGTTTTACTTCGTTCAAATGATTAATTAATAATAATTAACGGAAAATAATTCAAGAATTTTTTTGTCAAATTTATATCTGCTAGTCGATATTTTTAACTAGGTTAGATTAAAACATTTCAGTAAAATAAAATCAATTCAACCTACGAATGGACGACATATTTTTTTGTCCACGTAGTACTATTTAAAGCTACTTTAATTCTACATTTTAATTAATTACTCTAGAACACAAATCTAATATAACAATTTATAAACACATTTTAGCCAAAATGATTATTACCATCAACCTAGTTATGATTTCAAAAGTTATCAAAAATTATTATTTCTAGAAACTATGAAAAATAATGTTTTTTCATTAATATCAAAAATAATTTATTAGGTTTCACTAAGATAAATTTGTGTGAAGATTCGGGGAATTAATAAAAATTAGTTTAATTAATGCTGGATTTGTTTGTAAAATTATTTTATGGAAACTTTTTATTTTTACAGTTAACATTAGACTCCTTAATTGTCGGCTATATGCGTGTTAAATTGGATTTATGAGTAAATTATTGTGATAAAATAAAATTTATCCCGCTAAGCGATGTTCCTATGTATAGTTATATAGTTATAATTTCTATAAACAATATATTACTTAAATAGTACTAATTGGGATTGGTAATTTAACTTTATCACAAAAAATATCAAACGTAAACGGTAATAATTTTATAATGACTCTGCTTATATTTTATGAACATATAATGTAAAGATATATATCGTACATACTTTTGTGGTGACGTAAACAACACGCCACGAGTCGTCCGGGTTGTATACAATGTTGTCGGTGGATAAGGGGAAATCCCATGTTCTAGAATATGCGATGATTATCTTGTTAAGGTGATTTCGAGAATGTTCAAGACAATCGACGCCGATATATATATATATATATACCGGCTGGTCAGACGTTCAATAAATCAGTCCGTGAGTATAATCGGCGACACACCTTGAATTACACTCCGCGATATATTCGGCAATTCCTCTGCAATTGTAACGCGTATCGATATTTGTACATACATATTTATATAATATATTGTCTATTTTAATTAAATTAAATTGTGAGTGATTTTTATTACTTAAATCCCACACTTTATTTATTTCTTTTACTTCGGTTGTTTCAAATACACATTTTTTTTTTTTTTTTAGTAAACGAATATATACAATCTGTATAGACAATACAATAAGTAATAATAATAACAAAAATGTACAGGGCTTGACGGCTTGAATGAAGGGGGCGTCCAGTAACGCTACTTCAACTTTTTTTTTTTTAGTATTTTTTTATTTGTTTAGGAGTTCACGTGGCCAATTACGCTTTAAGCGTCGGGGTGGATTATCCGGGATAGTTAGAGAAGAGAGATTAGATATAAGTGGATTTGAATGAGCTAATGTGTTGGCGTGAAATTTTTTTATATTGAGTGGAAGCAAAAGCAGAGAGATAGGGAATTTTGAGGTCGTTGTGAAGGGTGTTGTTGCTAACGTACCATGGAGCTTGAGTCAACAAACGTAAATTTATTGATTGGAAGGATTGTAACAATTTTAGATTCGAAACTTTGGTTGATCCCCATATTTGGATGCCATACCTTATTGCAGGACGAATAAGTTGTTTGTAGATAAGAGTTTTATTGTTGAGTGGGATGTTGGAGCGAAGAAGGTGTCTTAGGCTATGGATTTTTAATTTTAGGGATATTTTTTTAGTTTTGATGTGGGTAGCTCAAGTTAGTCGTTTGTCAAGATGAATACCTAAGTATTTGACGGAGTTGACAAAGGGAATTATATTGTTATTTAAAGTTAGTGGAGGGTTGATATTAGGGCGTAAAGTGAATGTGATGTGTGATGATTTGTTTTCATTTATTTTTATTCTCCATTGATTGGACCATATTTATAATAAATTTAAGTGATTTTGAAGATTGTCGATCGCAACATTAATGTCTCGGTCAGAAGAACTTATGCAAGTATCATCTGCAAAAGTGGCTAAATTGGTGAGGGTGGAATGAGGTATGTCAGCGGTATAGAGATTGTACAGTGTTGGGGCGAGAATGCTACCTTGAGGGACACCTGCTTTTATATGATAATTATCGGATAGTTCGTCTTCACATCTCACTTGGAAAGTGCATAGTGATAAGAAGGAGTTTAGGGTTAAGTATAGAGGAGCGGAAAAAAATTTCATTTTGTAGAGAAGGTCTTTGTGCCAAATGCGGTCAAACGACTGGGATACGTCAAGGAATACAGATGGGTAAAAATGTTTTTTTTCTAGAGAAGAGCCAATGTTATCTACAATTCTGTGCACTTGGTTAAGGGCTGAGTGGTCTTTTCTAAAGCCAAATTGAGTGTTGGGAATTGTTTTATTTTCTGTGATGATTGAAAGAATTCTTTTTAGTATAATTTTTTCGAGAATTTTTGAGAGGGAGGGTAATAGACTGATGGGGCGATAAGAGGAAGGTGAGTCAGGTGGCTTACCGGGCTTATGAATTAGGATTATTATAGAGTGTTTCCACGTTTGGGGAATGTGGGAAAGATGAAGAATTGAATTAAAAATGTTGGTTAGGAGTAAAAGGGCTTTCTTGGGAAGATGTTTAATAATACTATTAGTGATAAGATCGTGACCAGGTAATTTTTTATTTGGTAAATGTTTAATAATGAATTGAATTTTTGAGGGGGAGGTGTGTTTTGTAGGTAGAGACATCGGAAGAGCATTGGTTAACGATTTTTTTATGAAGGATATGTGATCAATGTCATTTATATCAGGATGAGGCGAAAAGTTATTTTCTAGGTGAGAGGTAAATAAATTTGCTTTTTCCAGGTTTGTAATAGCAAAAGTTCTATCGTTGTATTTAATGGGAGGAATTGTATTTTTTTGGTTTAGAATTTTTTTTGTAGCTCTCCAAAGCTAGTTCATTATTGTTAATGAGTTAATATAGTGTTGATAATTCTCACTGTTATGTTTGCAAAAGAGATTTTTTAAAGAACAGGTAATGTTGTTGTAGTATCTTTTATCGCTGGGGAGATGAGTACGTTGCCAACGATTTCTAGCACGACGTTTTACAGCTAGTAATTGGGATAGATATTCGGGGAGACTTTTGTTGTTGTAAGGGGTAATTGAGGGTGGTGATGAATCGAGTGTGGCATTTTTTATAACATTAGTGAGGGCTAGGACGGCAGAGTCAATGTCGGAGGGAGATTTTAGAGGAATATTCAGAGATATGTTTTTTTCTACTATGTGGGAGAATTTATTCCAGTTTGTTTTACCTGGAGTGAGTGTAGGAAATGTTTTTAGGGAGACATGTTGAATATTTAGTGCTAACAAGAGGGGTGTATGATCCGACGAGAGGTCTGATAAATTGGTTAAATTATAATTGATGTGATTAGGAAGAGTATGAACAAAAAAATCAAGAATATCAGGAACTCTGAATGTGATGGCCAGTAAGTTGGTCCAGGAGGAGAAAAGTGTTCAAGGTTGTTAGTAAGTAATGAGCTGTAAAGTGAGCGACCTCTGGTATTAGTTACTCTGGAACCCTATATTTGATGTTTGGAGTTGAAGTCACCTCCGGCTAAAAAAGTGTTACCAAAGGACTGGAAGTACAGTGTAAGATCATCATCAATTATTTTATTAGCATTACCCGGTGGACAGTATACTGAGGAAATATTAGTGGGAATATGATTCAATGATATTGATATATTAGTGGCTTGAAAGCATGTAGATTGGAAATGAGGAAGAATAGCGTGACTAATACTAGATTTTATTATTATGGCAGAACCAGCATGTGCAGTTCCATCAGGATGATCACAGTGGTATATTGA